GAATCACGCCTCGACCAGTAGTCATCGTAGTGTAAGGCGCCGAGGCCATAAAACTCAGAGAAGAGATGCTGATGCAGGAGGCAACAACTTTCCCAGAGACAGCGAAGTAAGTAATGAGGATGGGCAGTTACCAGACCCGTCAGGCACAGTAACTCGGAGGATACAGGCGCAATTGGGAGTAATCAGTTCCCAGATGGTACTACGGGATCGCAAGGTAACAATGGAATTACGGCGGAAGATGACTTTTGCGACCCCGCGTTCACCTCGGTAGATGTGAGTCGAGATTGGATTGCAAGGTAGTGATTAGTATTACGACAGTGCAAATTGGTGTTGAATCAACTTTCTAATCGGTCCAAGAGAGTGGTGGTTGGAAGCAAGGTCGGGTGATTACCTGGCCAGGGAGGCATAGTTATGCAGGTGTTGGAGGCGTAATTGGGAACAAGCGGATTCCAGTATTTGCTTCTGGCACACAGGGTCCGGAAGCCAAGTAAGATTGAGATCGACGGCAGGGTGCTGGTGGCGCTGATTCAGCGTTCTCCCCCGGACAAGATAGTCATGCTGGTCTGGACAATATCAGAATGCTCAATACGACAGCAGTCAAGCAAATTGGGGCGGATCTTTAATTGCTAGGTTACCTTGTGAGGATTCAACAGGAGACATAGGGAGCCGTATAAGAAGGTGAGAGATCTGCCTAGTCGATCTTGGGCAAAATGGTCAGGTCCACAGATAGGGAAAACGGTGAGAGCCGAGGGGAATATCATTCACCACGGTAAATTGCAGGCGTTGGTCTGACCTACAGAAGGTAAAACTCTGGTAAGGGTGGTGCAGCAGTCTGGGACTATCGCGGGCGTCGAGAGAACTGTAGGCGAATGAGACGACCGAACCTAGTCGGGAATACAATCACCTACTTAGGTACTTGGAAATTTCGGTTGTGGACCGGCGCAAGGAGTGTATACGGATAGCGTGGGACCCCAGCGGGTGAGTCACGCCCTGCACGGTTGGTTAGGGAGAGTGGGGGGTTAAAGGATTAACCCCAGTCGCTACCACAGTCAGGTACACACATGCTCAGAAGTGTTCTGTGTGTCTTCAAATTGGCAAGAAAGGTTGCACAGAAAGTGAGCGTCTTGCAGCTCGGGTTTGGTGTCGGGTTTGGTTCGTTCAGGAAAGTTTAGTAAATCTAAACGGGCAGACGAGCAGGCTCAGAGAGTGTGGGGTCGGTAGCTCGTCTTGATTGCTGCACCCAATGAGCGTGCTCCGTGAATGAGACCACCGACAGTAGCAAAAAGAGAAGCTTCGTGAGTGGGGGCAGAGTGAAGTTTGAGAGTCAGAATGTTGCCTCCTACGTCGCTAAGTCCAAGGACATAGCCTCATGGTTGATTCAGCAGAAAGAACTCAAAATTAAGCTGGAGGACAAGAATGAGTACGTTGTTACCTTCAAACCAAGACTCTCAAAGAAAGAAATGCAGGATCTGAAGATGCAGGAAGCAGAATCAAAATTATGGATCATGGCATTGAGAGTGCCACTGGACACTTACTACTTCCTGAGGAGTGCAGTCATAGGGCTGTTCGGAGAAGACCTCTCTATGCATCCGCCGGAATATGACAGGGACCGACCTAAACTTACGAATGTCGAATTTTATATGCCGCCGGAATCTCGTCCAAGGATCGACGACAGCCTGGTAATCCAATCTCCGGAAGGGAAACGATGGACGATGGACATCGTAACACCCTACACAGACTAGTGTCGCCGTTGTTGGTGGTACTACCATAGCGAAGAAAATTGTCCAAGACAGACGCAAGCAGAGGAGGGAAGACGCGGTAATGGGGAAAGGAGGGGAGGACACAGTGAGAGATACCGTCAACACGTGGAAGGCCAGGAACGGTTGTCCCAAGGGGAATCGTTCAGAGCGGGAGGGGGACAAGCTACAGAACCGTTAACCGGCGACAGACAACCCGAGCCCTCTGGGGCAAACGTACACAGGGAGTTGGTTACACATGCTGCTCAGGATGCAACTCGGGGGCAGAGGGGTAAAGTGCCATACACACCTCGGCAAATGCTTGGAGTGGAGAGAAGAGCGGTGCACTCAAAGGGACGCTACTAGGGACAAGCAGAAGAACCAAGGCAAGAAACGCAGGCAAGGGGGACAGGTGGCCTGATTAATCAAGAGGAAGAATCGAGTCGCAGAACGCAGAGATGGGGGGACATGTAGGCACACCCTCCGCTACCCCCATGGAGACCAAGGGAAGGATGGCCTTTGAATAATGATTGGAAATCCGGCATGCCCGTAGGGTGTTTCGGAGGCATCGGAGAGAGACCGCCGTTCCACAATCAAACACAAGTACAGTGTCAAAACCCCTACGCAAATCAACAAGATGTCGGATGGGGAGGAAGACCGCCGCCTTACACCTCAAATCCGCACCAGACGAAGCAGTTCCAGGCCGGGCATCCAATACCAGGGTACCCATCTGATGCCTATAACTGGAGGATCTTTGCCCCGCAAGCTGTAGGAAGAGGATTGACCTGGCCAAATGCTACGAGACGAGAAGAAGCAGGTTCCAACAGACGGACGCACAAAAGTAGCAACCGATGGGACCTAGGGAGAGAAGGTAGTTGGAGGAACAGAGGAGACACAAAACAACTTTGGCGAGGTAACGCAGTGTCCGAATGTCCAGGGATCAGGGAGGAGGAAGGGAGCCACAAGCAATAGGGCGAGGCAGGATACCCAAGAAGAGGAGAAGGAATGCAGGGAGACCTCCCAGGGACCCCGGAGTCATCCCAGTCGAAAGTGCGGTGGGGAAGTGAATGCTGCGCTGAAGACCATGGAGAGGACAAATCAGAAAAGTCCTCCTCGATGGACAGCTGAGCAGCCTCAGGACCCAGAAAGCAGGAAGGGCGAGTGGAGGACAGCAGGAGAATAGTAGACAAGAGCGGGCGTGTCGAAGCCTTGGGAAGAAACCAGATGGAAGCGGTGGAAAGACGCCTGGTACCGATCCTCTGCACAAGATTGGAAGAAGGCACCTTCTTCCTAGCTCTGACAAGTACCGAGGGAGTACCACAGATCCCTTCCTCGGTGGTGGACCGGTCCCCGGCGCCGGCAATGATTATGGAAACGGTGAGAAAATTGTATGGAACACACGTACCTGTTCGCCTCATCCCTCGTTCGTCTATGGCAAGTGTGATAGTGGAAACGGTGCAAGGCTACAGCAAGCTGTATTTCCCGATGTTGGACGCCCGGGTACCACCGGAGGCAATCGAAGCCTTGAACCAGACAAGAGTGAGGAGATTTCACATGGAATTACTCAGGGAAAGATACATGCATGAGCAGGAAGGGATACAAGTGCTGCCAGGGGTATCTGCATTAGTACTCGTTAATGCTAATGAGAAGTTAGGGGAGGAGGAGAACTTTCACTCAACCTTCTTAACCAGAAGTCTGACGGAAGACTGACAGTCCTCTTCAAGGGGTAGCTCTTCTAAAAGAAGCTCCGGAAAGCAATCGAGAGAATCAGTGGGAACAGGACACCGGTCCCATTCGCAGCGAAGAGCGCAGTTGGCCACACCGCAAATCCAATCACAGGCGGAGACAGTAGTGGGAAATGAATAGAATCAAGATTGCAACGTGGAACTTGCAGGGGCTCGGGGACACGAACGGGAGGATGAAAAAAAGAAGATTGAAGTCCTGGGTGCATGAACAAAGGGTGAATTGTGTGTTAATACAGGAATCGAAGTTAAATGAAGAAAAGTTGAAAAGCATAGAGAATTGGTGGGAGGGGCCACAGGTGTGGGCTCCAGCACAAGGGACACGAGGAGGGGTAGGTATCCTGTTGCACGGGGACTTGCAAGCATTGGTCATAGACGCAGAGGCGGACCTGTGGGGAAGGTGGGCGTGGATGAAATTCGAGGTGGGGGGCGAGGCCTGGATATTTATCGCAGTGTACGCGCCGACAAAGGTTAGAGAGAGAGCGGAGTTCTTCGCAAAGGTTAAGGCATCTGTACCAAAAGCAGACAAGCTTGTGTTGGCCGGGGACTGGAACGTGTCATTGGACGAGGCGCTACGTCTAGGATCTCACTCAGCAGA